AAAAAAAAAAAAAAAAAAAAAACCACAAAAAAACCCAACAGAAAAAAACCCCAAACCATTGTCAGGTTGTGTTTTTTTTTTTTTTTTAATGGAAATGACAATTTCCTTTGTGGAAAAGAATTCATGTCTTTTGTTTTTTACAGTAGTTTGTAAACATATTATGATCAGGTATTAAATGAAAGACTTTTCCTCATAGCTTTATCTTCAGTCTTCTCTGCATTTTTAATAATTTCCACTGCATTTTTTACATATGCAGAGGAAAAAGAAAACCTAGTATTTTAGCACTGGGAGGGGGGAAGGGGAAGAAGGGAACTTGGGTAACAACGAGAGAGAAGCCACCTGGACCTCTACTTGCTACAAGTTGGCTCTACGCCTACTCAGTGTATAAAACACGATTTTGAAATATGAGTTTTAAGAACTATCTCATGACACTTCTCCCTAATCTGTGAGGATAAAACATAAAGCTGAACAGAAGCAAGTATGGACTCCAGCACACAAAGAGCAACACAAAGACCTTGTGGCTTGCTGATAAATTTCCACTCTGAGAATACTGTCAGTGTCATCTGTAAAGCTGCAAAGGACCAGAGGTGGAAGGCATTAGGGATACAGTAACTGTCAGAAAACTATAGTCAAGACCTTGACACAGGATTGCACACATCAGGTTTTATGCATCCAGGTTCCCACATGCCTTTTTCATTCCCTCAACTGCTACCAAAATACTATTGCTCAAATGGCTACAGAATTCAAATCTAACAAGGGTCAAGGGAACTTCTGATGTGAGCCATGAAAACTATGTGCTTCAAGCAAAGTTTAATACACTAATGTTGTCCCTTTGACAAGCAGGGGCCCTGCTCCCAGAAAGCTCGGGAGCTCAGCATTAAACACCCTCAGCTGATGTCAGAACAGAAGTGAATTTGCTCAAAAGTACAGCTCAGTGCTATGGTTTAGCTCACCAAACAAGCTGGTTTCCTCTGAAAGGGTCTCCTCCAGCTCTTCCCTGCCAGCCTTTAGATCCCCCACACGTATCGTTTCACCTCTCTGATATGCTCCATATGGTTTGAGGGACACCAAGCCCAGCAGAAGGGAGGGAGCCAGACAAGGTAGCTGGGAGGCAGGGAGAGGGGAACGTGACTCCCAGCCACTTCTCCCTCCCACCACAGCTACTCTGTCTCGTCAAACTGTCCCAGAGGATTCCTTTGGCAGCTAATATAGCAAGTAAACAGCAACTCCATGAATAAACAGTAAGTCCTAGTGAAAATGATTTTCTGGCAGAGATTTCTCAGACAATCTGGGAGAAGGACTTACTTTTTGCAGGTTTAGCTGGGATTCGGATCACAGTGGGTTTCCGGGCTAAAGCTGGTTGAGCTGTCTGTTCCTTTGCAGGTTCACTTTTAGGGAGGAATTGAAATGGATCTAAAAGGGGGAAAAAAAATCACAACATATTTAATATTTATTTGCTGAACACAAATCTCACTGGTTATTGCTTTTATTATTAAGGACATTTATACTTCACACCCAAGTCCTAAAAATACATACATAAAAATCAGGATGATGCAAATACTGTACTACTTTGTAGATAATATGTCTTTTTTGCACACGTGCGTTCATAGTTGACTTAACATAAACATGTTCCAGATGCCTTCTGGGATTATATAAGCCACTGAACAAGAGGAACCACACTGCTTGGTAACAGCGACCTGAAATCAGGATGGCTTTAGGGAAATGTTTCCAAAGCAGTTGCTCTAATAAGCAGACATAGCTGCGAAACGTATTTGCTAAAAAGTTTTAATCAATAAAATCTTGCCAAAGCTAAACAGTCAGCACTGCAGCAGATAAAATGCCTACAGAAACAAACCAAAACAGAACAAAGCATTTAAATATTAATGATAACAAAACGTCTTTGCTGTAGAACAACCAATTCCCTGGAACATTCTGCATCATTATAAACACAGGGGGAGACTCTCTCACGGGGGAGACTGGTTCAGACCAAGGACTGGGAGTCCTGCCTGAGCTCTGCCCCAGCCTGTCCCACTCATTCCTCTATAAGCCTCTCCAATCATTCCATCGGTAAGACAGGAGCAATGTTTTCTATGCTTCATAAACTTAAGCACTGGTCTCTTATTAATAGGCATGGGAACATATGCGCATGTAGAAAGCAGCTGGAAAAATACTTGTACATAAATAAAATCCAAATCAATGGCTTCTTTCTCAAGTACACCTTCGTGTCAAAGAGCAATGCTTCATTTATACCTCTTCTCTGTTGTTAACAACCGCTACCTTTTTCTCTGACATTACCAAAACCTGTAGTAAAATGGCAACGCTTAACAGTATCGTAAATGTGTAAAGCAGAAACTGGAGAAGCACTCCGGACAATAAATTCTCCATGACACATATTCATAGCCCCAACAACCGAGTTTGATCTCCCCTGGTGGCCTTTTTAGATGTGTAGCTCAATGAGATGTTATTTATGGAGTGTCAGAGTCTCAGGGAGGAAGCACGCTGGGCATCTCTTTAAATTCTTCGGGACTTTTTATAAAAACATACCCTTTCCCAAAACTATGGCCACACTTTCTGGCAAAGTTGGAGGCCCTGTATTTGATAAAATTCCGTCTTCAAGACTTTTAAAGAACAATTTTAAAAGTATGTAATATGAAGTCATGGTTTCTTACAGATAATTTTGGATAGTATAACACAATGCAGTTTATCAAGACGCTAGAAATCCGTGTCTGGGAATATACATGAGATTTAAGAAAATCCAGAAACATGGTATTTATTTATGAACAACGTCATTAAAAACTTTTTAGCATTTTAATTTAAAAAAGCCTTGGCATTCTTAGAAAGGGGAAGAAGACCAAGTACATCAAACCCTGTACTTTTTTTCTATTTAACCAAAAATTTTCTCAGAGAGTGAGAAAAGATTGTATAATATTGAACTGCTGAGTCGCAGTGTAACTGCCCTCCCGCATGTCACAGCTCCCCCAGCCTCTGCTGCTGCTAGGTAGAAAGGATCCTGACAGGTCAACAATTTGTCTATAGCTAAACGTATACAGGCTATAGTTAAAAATAAGCTCTGCCACCACTTAGACAGAAGATGGCTCCATCCCATCGTGCCCAAAGACACTGGTGCATGGAGAAACTAGGCACAGGCAACCCCCAATGTTTTAGAAGGTAAGGGTAGAACTAACACCTTGCTATGGATTGGCATAAGTCAATAGAAGATTTAGAAGGATTAGGACCCTAGGGAATGCGCTGGCATAGGGAGCACCTCTCAAGGTAAGGTTCTGCAGAGGTTTAAGGAAGTTCTGCATGAATGAGGAAATGATTTTCCAAAGCTTCCATCTTACAAAAATATAGACATCGTGAGAACAAGTGGAAATGCTCTAAACAGCCAAAATAACCACAGATCTGTATTCTTGTAAATTTATGGGATTTAAAATTGTACGAAATTAGTGTTGGTCAGCTGTTAATCATTGCTATGCGTAGAAATGGTTTTCTAAACCATTCAACAATTGGCAGAGGTCTCCAAATCAATAAATCTGAGAGGTAATTTTTAAGTCTGAGAGAAGTTATTTCTAAGGCTGAGAAAACCATTCGATGAACCTTAGTTTTCCACTCATTATCTTATGTTCAATTACACTGTTGTCACCTCATAATTAGTTTAAAACTCATTACCTTGTTTGTGTTATTCCATTCCCCAGTGTTGGCTTTGCAGCAGAAATTGGCTGAGTAAACGACTGCGCTGCTTTGTGCAATGGGACTGACAACATATCAAATTTTTATGTTGTTTAACAACAATTGGGCATCGTTTGAGCATAATTCATGGAGGTGTGAAAACAGAATTGCTAATATACTCATTTAAAGCTTCTCAGCTCAAGGAAATTAATCTGCAAGGCACTTTTCATAACACATACGAATAGACTTCTATTGATTTTTTTTATTATTAAACTTTTACAATTATGATTAGAGCCTGTGTCTTCCTCAGTCTCACTTTTTTACCGCTTCTGTTTCAAAGGTTTATGTGGTAACACATTAGCGTGCTTGTTGACAGAAAAGACAAATGAAATCTGTGTATACAAATACACTGTATATCATCTCTTTCTTTTATCAGTTTAGGAGAGGCAGCTTTATACCTCCACTCTAGTTTACCATTAAAATAAAAAATTAAGAGGTTACAAAAGAAACACTAGGTTTTGCCCATGCGAGCAGGACAGATGGATACCTTCCTGAAATATTTACTGGAAGTCTTTAAGTAAGTTGGTAGTAAGACGGTAACATATACCTCAGCAGCAAAAAGGGGAATCTTGAAACAAATCAGATGTGGAAAGCTAAAAGCACAGAATAGTTTATCTGCCCAGTCCTGCCAGAAGAGCAACATAGTACAAAAGGTGTTGATGCTGACATTACAGCACTTGCCACTACAGAAGTATGCAAGTGAGTCCACTTTCAGTGTTTAATTAAAAAAACTACATCAGCTGTTAAAGGCAAGGCTCACACATTCTCTCCACAAAGGACAGTATTGCTATCGGGGTCTTCCAGGAACAGATAGTCATCAGCAAACAGTTTTATTAAAGCCTAGCCCCATGAAACCACTCTGGTGTTTGTAGAAGCATACTTAACCCATACCTGGGGGAAGATTTTCAACAACAGAGCCCTTCTAGTAAGATAGCTGGAGACGTGCCCGACAGATAACATCCCAAAGAGGATTGGGGCCCATGCTCAAGAAACACTGTGAAATACAACTAAAAGTCTGATACTCAGACGTTCTAAATCTCAAACTATTTACAATTATAAATAGACATATTAGACAGGTATCCTACCTAAATTCCAGCATCACTTATTTTCCCAATCTCAGTTTTCCCCAGTATTTTTCAGCACTGAAATTAATGGTTCATTGTTCTTAGAAATGGTATTTCTGACCCAGAAAGAAAAATATGGACTACACGACCGTTCTCAAAATACGCAATTTGCAGCTACCTCTGCATGGAAAATTGCCACGATCTGGTCATGACCATATCTTTTAATAGACTGGAAAATTCAAAAAGAAAAAGAAAAAAAAATAGAGAGCAAGAGAATCGGATGGAGGCTCTTTCAGGATGTAATCTGTGCATAACCTGAAAGTAAGCTCAGGTGAAACTCAGGCTTCTCAGTAACCTCCTAACACTGGGAGAGCAGATCAGGTCACTCAAATAAAAGGAATACAGTATTCAAGAGCAGACTTAGTATGGCTTCAGACTTAAAATTGGAGCAGAGACAAGCAAATGTGCTATCATAATGTTCTAGGATTTCTTTCTCCCCAGTTCACAGGAGGTTTTTCATGACCAGTCCAGTTATTTTAGTAGAGGCTATTAACGGGCTGTGTGGTCTTGCTTCATTCAAAGATTTATAGTTCATCAGGCCAAGGAGATTTCCTTTACCTGATATGGCACATTTAGTCAAACAGGTACTTGAGTTGGGCTGGTAAAAATGCTTTTCCAATGTGGTTGCCAAAGCATTTTTTTTATTTTTGCTGTTTCATCAAAAGCACACAACACCAGAGCGAGCACACAGTAATTTCAGAAAGTTTTACCTTGAGGGTTATCTTTCCTCCCAGAAACATTATGCCAAACAGATACCAAAGTAGAAATTTCAAACTTCTCACAGACTACCAAGATATATTTTTTTAAAGAGTTGTGCAAAGACTTCAGGACAGGAAGAATCTATCCAGCAACATTTATTGCTACTCAGAGCAGAGAAACTGTAGTGAACTACTTGCATGGGTTTCAGGCATTGTTCCCCGTTCACTGCTGACATCTGACAGATCACCACAAAAAGCAAGGCGACACTCAAGGCCAGTGATCACTATTTTTGAGGAACGAGTCCAATCCAAAGAACAAACGAATGTGTACAGAATACATGTGGAGTTTGCAGATGGAGCCTAGCCATCAGTACGACAAAAGTGCCCAAAGTCAAAGAATTATGTAGAGTTTGATATTCTCTGAAAGCACAGGAAAATAAAATTGCTGAGAGATGCAACAGAAGATCCAACCTAAATGTACTTGTTGAAAATGCAAGATGTCCTTAACTGAGCAATGAAATATCTCAGCCACAGTGTTAGAAAGTCAGAGAGCCGATAAAATAAAATCTACTACTAGAATAGCAATATTTCTTGGGCTATTGTAGCACTTAATGGCAATACGAACATTTATGGGGTGGAAAACTACAGTGCCACACCGTTCACAGAGACAGATACAAATGGACTTTTTCCAAGCTTTCAGCATCTCCCTCTCAAACTGGGGGAATGCCCACACTTCTATCTGTGTGTATCTAAAAACACAACTGTTTGGTTCATTGCTAGCTTGTCCATACTAGTAAAGATGATAGCAATTATACCACCTTTGGCACAAAAGAACTGCTTATACCAGCACGAGCTATCA